GATTTGCTTTCAGTGCCGTGTTGGTTTCTTACTAGGTTTTTTTTTTTTTTTTTTTGGTTCAAGGTTTTTGCTGACTCAAAAGGTTTTTTTTGTTCACTCACATTTTTTTGTGTGGAAGTATCGGTAAAATTCTGTTCATAGATCTGCTCGTTGATTCTGATTCTCTACAATTCAATTGATTTTTGTTTTGGTTGATTTACAAGTTTTTTTTTCAAGTTGTCTTTGATCAATAAAATACTTTGTTTTGAGCATATATCGGAAGGACTAATTTTTTTTGGTCCTTACTTATTTAAGCATTTCGCAACCTAATCCTCCTGAACCAGTGTGAAGTTATTTTTTGTTTGCTCTCCCAACAAAGTGATCTAGTGATCCATTTTTCCAGGTTACATTTAAAAAAAAATTTTGGTGCCGAAACCCGGGAGGATTATATTTTTTTGAAATTAGCCATTTGTTTTAAAAGTAAGTACATTTTGTTTAAATTGAACAAACACGGTGCTTTGAGTTAAAGATCTGAGTAGTGCATGATGACTTCTCCAAGTGGTCCACTGGAAATGAGAGGATCTTCACACATGTATCCTCTACATCACAACCGTATCCACCCATGCTGACACCCCAGATGCTGCATGCTGGATCCCACCTACCTTTGCTCCAGGACAGCCCACAGTTCCAACCAGTGGTGACTCCCGACCCAATGCTACCACAAATGCTGTCCATTCACAATCCCGGTCCTCATCCTGCAGCCAGTGACGAGTTACGAAGGATGCCAGCAGCCCAACAGTTTCCGGATCAACTCCTCTATCACCCTGATATTCAACCAGTGGTGAATGCCAGACCATCTTCAGTCCAACATCAGTACCCCAGCAGTCCCTTTCAAGGCACTCACCACCTTCAAAACACTGCGGCAGGAGTTGAAGATCATCAGTGAAGAGGCGCGCCAGGCAAAGGAGGCAAGGAGGATCCACTATCAGCTACTCCAGCAGACGACAGAAAAAAAGCAGTCCCAATTGCCCGAAACCAATGTGGGACGAAAATCCAGCCCACCAGAAGGGCATACCAAATCGCCACCGAAGCCAGATTGACTGGAGGAGTTGACAGTGTTGATGCATCAGCAGATGTGTACCCTATAGACAATGTTTTCCACGGTCAACAGTCACTTGATTTCAGGGTGCAGCAGCTGGAGAACTGCATCGCACAGCGGGGTCAACACCCAAACCACCAAGGAGGAAGGATGAATCCACCAAGACGCTACCCGAATGCCAGACAAGAGGGCCGCTGCTTCTCTTGCGGGGGATTTGGTCACTTCGCACGAGAATGCAACCGCAGCAGAGAGTCAGAGGGTACCCAAGCTGAGGGACAACAGTTAAACTAGGCCGACCTACTGATGCAGGGCAATCAGTGGGTTCATTTATACAGGAGAGCCATCAAGGAGCTTCGCTTCCAGCCGGGCCAGGTAAATCAACCATGGATAAGGGACAGCTCGTTGGTCCAGTGAGCAGCACTGAAGTAATGGTTTCAGGGAAACCATGTACAGTTCTCCTAGACACAGGCTCCCAGGTGACGACCGTCACCGATGAATATGTGGCGAGGCATCCAGTTTTGCAGCGACAAACCCTACAGAAGACAGACATCGTGATTGATGGAGCTGGAGGACAGAGTGTTCCTCATCTGGGTTACGTGCTGTTAGATAACACTGAAGGATGTGCCAGTATTTGTAGTACCGGTGACGAAGTTTAGGGAATCCATCCCATTGCTTCTCGGGACCAACGTAATAGTGGCTGTTCGAAACTCGGTGCATACAAAGCACGGCAGATGGTTCATGGCCAGGGCAAAAAGGAAGTCAGATACCTGGCATTCAGCGTTCCAGTGCATGAATACTGACAGCACTGATTTGGCAAAGAAGGATGGCGAGATAGGTGCCTTGAGGTATGTCAACAATAAACACGTCGCGATCCAACCAGGAATGATGATGGACGTGATGACCAAAGTCCCTATACATGTACGAGGCAGAACCTTCCGGGCATTAGTTGAACCTACAGAGCAGTATGCTGAAGGCGGTTTGGAATAGAAAGAACCCTCACCGATGTTTGAAGAGGCTTTGTCCCTATTCGAGTTGGTAACTTGTCTCAGCGAGCCATAACCATAAAGCCATATACTCATCTTGCGACCCTAACGGCAGTTCGGGAGGTTTGTAGACTAGAAGAACAAAGTGGTCCCCAAAGTAATTCCTGTGGTTCTGCTGTCTGTAACAAGTCCCCGTAGAGGAACCAGAGGCCCTGAGCATTGATGTCGAGTATGGCAGCATGTCATTTGAGGACCGGAAGATGGTTGAGGAGCTCATCAAGAGAAACAAGGATGTCTTCTCAAGAGATTCCCAAGACATTGGGTTCACTGACACAGTAGAACATGAGATCCCCCTTGTGGACAATGTACCGTTTAGACTACTGTACCGAAGAATTTCAGCAGGGCAGTTTCAGGAGGTAAGGGAGCACATTGCAGATTTGCGGAAGTCTGGAGTAATCCAGCCAAGTGCTAGTCCCTACGCATCTCCAATAGTCATTGTTAGGTAAAAAGATGGTACAATTAGAATGTGCGTCGATTACCGGCGGTTAAACCCAAAGATGGTTCGAGATGCGTACCCACTTCCCAGGATAGAAGAGTCTGTGGATGCTCTTGGGGGTGTGAAGTTCTTCTCTCGTTTGGATCTGACATCAGGGTACTTGCAGGTCAAAGTTGCAGAACAAGACAGACCCAAGACGGCATTTACTTCACCCATGGGGTTGTTTGAGTACACCAGGATGCCATTTGGCCTAATGAATGCTCCAGCAACTTTTCAAAGACTGATGACGACAGTGTTTGGCGATCTTAACTTCATGAGTGTTCTACTCTACCTTGACGATATTGTTGTCTTCAGCTCAATGGTGGAGGAGCATGTCCAACGGCTGCAGTGTGTCTTTTCTCGCCTTCGAGAACACAGGCTGAAGTTGAAGCCAACCAAATGCCATCTTTTCAAAGAGAGCGTATAGTACCCTGGCCACATCGTGTCTGCCGAAGGCATCGCCACTGATCCTGAGAAAACATCAGCAGTGAAGGAATGGCCTGTTCCCAAATGTAAGAAAGACGTGCGCAGTTTCCTTGGGTTTACAGGGTACTATCGTCACTTCATCAAGAACTATTCAAAGATAGCCTCACCACTGTTTGCCTTGATTGGTGGCAAGCGAGAAGTGAAGGACCCTCCGTTCTCGTGGAGTGATGAGTGTCAACTAGCCTTCAACCACCTGAAAGAGCGCCTGACGACAACACCTATCCTCGGGTATGCAGATTACAACCTCCCCTTTGTAGTGATGACGGATGCATCCGGTGAGGGCCTTGGTGCGGTGTTATCCCAGCAGCAAGATGGGAAGGAACGGGTGATAGCCTATGCCAGCCGGACACTCTCTGCAGCAGAAGCAAAATACCCAGCACATAAACTGGAGTTCAAAGCTCTTCATTGGGCCATCACAGACAAATTTAAGGACTATCTCTATGGCAACAGGGTCACCGCCATGACAGACAATAACCCGTTGACCTACGTCCTTAAGAATGCAAAGCTTGATGCCCACAGCCATCGATGGATAAGCGACCTCTCTCAGTACGAGTTAGACATCATCTACAGGCCTGGCAAACAGAATGCCAATGCGGATGCTCTGTCGAGAATAGCTAGGGATGAGGTGGCACGTATCCTGGATGAACCTGAACGACGAGGGAAGGAAAAGTCAGTGGGGCTGCAGGAAAAGCCGGTAGATACGGCAGCGGCCGCCCCTATCCAGCCTCCCACCATACAGGTGCAGATGCCACAAGCTAGTAGTACGAGTGATACTGGAGTGAAAGCCTGCAGTCTAGAACCAGAGACCAAACAGATCAGCGAGCTGTAACTGGAACCAAGTGTGGACATGGCCTTAACCTTGAGGTTGCAACAGGCAGACCCAACCATCAGTCGGGTCATCGAGCTGAAGTCATCCAGGCGGGTCAAGCCCAGTAGAAGACAGTTAGAAAAGGAGTCGAAGGTTGTCCAGCGAATGCTAAGATCATGGAACTACCTCATGGTGCAGGATGTTGTGCTCATCTACCAGAAAGCAGATAACGGCAAAAAGGGTCTTCTTCCAGTCCTACCGAAGGCACTGCGTTTCCAGATCATACGCCATCTTCACGATGACATGGGGCATCTGGGTTTTGAGAGGACTTCAGAAATGGTCCGAGATCGCTACTTCTGGCCTGGCCTTTACTCAGACGTAAAGAGGTATGTCAGAAGGTGTAGGAGGTGTACCCTGCGGAAGCTACCCAACACGAGGAGGTAAGCGGAACTCCTTAACATTTGCACAACTCGACCCCTTGAGCTGATCTGCCTTGACTTTCTCTCCCTCGAAAGGTCAAAAGGAGGGTTTGAGCATGTTTTGGTGATCACAGATCACTTCACCAGATATGCTCAGGCCTATCCTACACGTGACCAGAAGGCCAGCACTGTTGCCAAGCTCCTGTGGCAAAAGTTCATCATCAACTATGGCATACCGGAACGAGTACACTCAGACCAAGGAAAGAGCTTTGAGGCCGAAGTCGTAAAGGGATTGTGTGACCTCCTAGGTGTTCAGAAGAGCAGAACCTCTCCGTATCACCCACAGGCAGTGTTTCCCCTGCCCATTCAAACATGAGGTGGCCTACCTCGCTACTTTCAGTGACCACCTCGCTCAATTTTTGCCAATATCACCACCTCGCTGTGAAGATTGGAAAAAAAGGAAATATCAATTGAAAAAATTTCATTTTGTGTAATATATGATCATTTTCCTTTACCTCCATGTATCAAGAACTCACATTTCGATGTGTTTTTTTAATCATCGCGCATTTTTGTGAGCGCTGCATTCTTTTCAGTTTGCAGACTGTAAATTTCGTTTCAATCATCAACTTGAATTGTTACCACCTCGCTCAGTTCATTAGCCAGGGGAAACACTGCTCCACAGGGGAACGGCATGACGGAGATGTTTAACCGCACACTACTCTCCATGCTGGGAACTCTGGAGCCAACCAAGAAGGTGGACTGGGCCATGTACGTGGAGTCCATGACACACGCTTATAACAGCACAAGACATGATTCAACTGGCTACTCCCCTTTTCATCTCATGTTCCTGCGAGGTCCGAGGTTGCCAGCTGACCTCATCATTGAACCAGTAGAGTCCCCAGACACAGCTCAAGCAGATGGATCTCACCATGGATACGTACAGCGACTGAAGAGGCACATGCTGGAGGCCTACCAACAGGTCAACACTGCGGCAACAAAGGCACGCATGAAGCAGAAGGTCAATTACGACAAGAAAGTTAGAGAAGCTCCAGTGCAGCTGGGCAGCAAATTGCTAGTCGCCAACAAGACGCCACGTGGAAAGGGGAAGCTACGAGACAACTGGGAGGAAATCCCTTACGTGGTTATACGGAAGCTCCAAGGGTTCCCGGTGTACACAGTCCGTCAGATGGGCTCTAGGAAGACGCGCACACTTCATCGTGACATAATCACAGCGTGCCCATTCGATGTGCCTGAAGAAGAATCCAAGTCTACACGGCCAGAGGAAATTGCAGAAGCAGCCCCCACACTGAGTCACTCCAAGTCAGAGGGTCTTCCTGGGGACTGCAATCCAAACACCAAGGTGTCGACTGAAGATGAGCCTCTGCAGTCTGGGACGGAAAGCAGCGCAACCCGCCAGTCTGTGCCCGATACCGCAAGTGAATATGAAGCAAGTGATGAATCTGACAGCTCAAGTACTGATGACGAACCGCCTCCAGCAGCGTATAATCTTAGGAGAAATATCAAATTCCCCAATAGACTAGGAAACTGGTGCCGAGAAGTGGCTTATAGTGACTGTTTAGCATTGTTGAGGACAACAATGGATTTAACCAGTGGTGAGTGTAAGGAGGAGAAATTCATTAGTTAGTTTTTTACTTAATTGCACTTGAAAAGATGTAGCTCCCCCTGGTTAACTTATTTTTTTTTAAGCAAAGTACACCCCTATGTGGTTTCCCCAGTGGTTCTCAAGTAACAACATAGACTCCTGAGTAGATAAGAGTAGTGTGAACCAGTGTGAAGTTATTTTTTGTTTGCTCTCCCAACAAAGTGATCTAGTGATCCATTTTTCCAGGTTACACTGGCACGTAAAAAAGACTAGCAAGAGCGGCGAAGCCGGGAGGGCCTTTACTATCTTGTGGAACTAATCACTTATTCATTTATTCACGTAATATAAATCAAGCAATATAAACCAATCATCTAACGGTGGTTTGCCGCTACCAGCAACAGCATGGTGCGCGTGCTGTCTGGCGCCAGACGACAGCTGATTTACATTGGTAATTCTGCATTTTCATTGGTCAATTCACAACGGTAATGCATTATTCATGTCTACCAAATCGGTAGACAAATGTAAAGAAAAACATAAGCGTTCTCCACGAGATGGTAAAGGCTCGTGCTAGTCTTTTTACGTGTCAGCATCCAGGGTGCGTCACGTGTCCGGGTAAGCACGTGGGACTTGACTAAAGGCTACATAGCAGCGGGTACTGGTGTGATGGTTGCTGAGTCGAATGCAAAATGCATATGCCTGTGCAGACGCTCACTTACGTGATGTGGCACGACATGGTATGCAGTGCTATTCACGCATACTGGCCCATGGTATCGCCTGCGTGCCCGTCCTTTTTCCATTGTTGCGTCCTATTGAGCACGCGCTCAAACTAATTTTACCATTGAGCAATATGATTTTACAGTTTGTTTGTGACTAGATGAGGTATTCAGATTATTTGCATCGCTTGATAAATAAGAAGTCAATAATTTGTTTTCCTGAAATGCGAGCAAAGTGCCCAACATGTAATTGAAATGGTGTCCAGGGAAAAAAGTCAAGACAGGACAGATACAGACTTTATTCCAAATTTAACTTTAATAACCTTTACCTTGTTATAGTACACTGATTACACAATAACGTAAAAAAAACCCCACCACGCACATACTCCTCCTTGAGGGTGTTATAATAATAATAATAACAGGTTCTTATATAGCGCTTTTAACTAAGATCAAAGCAATTTACATTATTATTACCCCTAATCATTGGGCCAATTAAACATTCCATATACCATCTCGGCTCCCTGGGGAGTACACAGCTTGATGCTGCCTGTTGGGCTCAAAGAAGCTAATTCAATCACAATAACCATCACTGCCCTCATAAGTACCCCATTTACTCCTGGGTGGAGAGAAGCAATGAGTGACAAAGTGCCTTGCTCAAGGGCACACGCACCATGACCCTGCCAGGACTCGAACCCACAACCTGCAGCTTTACCCACAGACCACGAATCAGTGCCCTTAACCACGAGGCCACAGCACTCCAGGGTGTTATTTTAAGGAAAATAATGAAGGAAACAATTTTTTTTGCAGGCGCGATTAACAATGTAAACAATGGTAGCATAAAAAGATTCGAGAGTAGAGCGGGTAATGAATATGCATACCATGACGTCATCACAGCCATATTCGTGTCGTCACACTCGCGCGAAAATATGATCATCGGTAATTAAGTGGGGCGACACTAGAGGGTGGTGGCGCGACAGTAGAAAGAGGACTTGTTAAATGTGATGATCATCGGTAAGTGGGGCGACAGTAGAGGGTGGCGGCACGGGGTCCGCTCATAAGTCCGACGCCTCATTGGTCCGACGCCTCATAAGTCCGACAAAATCGTATCCCCTAACCAAATAAAGGCCCATAAGTCCGACGCCTCATAGGTCCGACGCCTCATAAGTCCGACGCCTCATAGGTCCGACGCCTCATAGCTCCGACGCCTCGTAAGTCCGACAAATTAAACGCCTCGTTTTTCCGTTGTCGGACTTATGAGGCGTCGGACCTATGAGGCAGAATAAATAAATGTTATGCCTCATAAGTCCGACGCCTCATAAGTCCGAAATTTCGGACTTATGAGGCGTCGGACCTATGAGGCGTCGGACTTATGAGGCGTCGGACCTATGAGGCGTCGGACTTATGGGCCTTGAGGGTGGTGGCGCGACAGTAGAAAGAGGACTTGTTAAATGTGATGATCATTGGTAAGTGGGGCGACAGTAGAGGGGGGTGGCGCGACAGTAGAAAGAGGACTTGTTAAATGTGATGATCATCGGTAAGTGGGGTGACACTAGAGGGTGGTGGCGCGACAGTAGAAAGAGGACTTGTTAAATGTGATGATCATCGGTAAGTGGGGCGACACTAGAGGGTGGTGGCGTGACAGTAGAAAAAGGACTTGTTAAATGTGATGATCATCGGTAAGTGGGGCGACACTAGAGGGTGGTGGTGCGACAGTAGAAAGAGGACTCCACTAAACGCGAATACATACATTAAGTGGGGCGACAGTACATGTACAGTTTAATTTTATTTCTTTCGGGGGGAGGATGGTCTCACACCATCCTAACACCCCTATTTGGTTTTCCGAGTCTTTGACGCTCACTGTTGGTCCGGGCTCCCCCCCCCCCCCCCGCCCCTTATAAACCGCTGAACAGGGGTTTTGCTCGTTTTCGTCCTGACTGAACTCTGTGGTGGCCGTAAACAATGAACACGCTGCATGCAGTACATACAGTGCATCTATACACGTACCGTGATATATTACTCGTGAGCTTCTAGTGACGTCATAGTCATGCATATTCATTACTCGCTCTACTCTCGAATATTTTTATGCTACCGTAAACAATAGGGGTGCACCCAATCAAATATTTCCCCATATACAGCAGTGATAAATGCCCATACTTCAAAATTGTTTTTAAAAAGTACTCAAAACTCTCACAGGTGTTCAGGCTGCACAGGACAATGATGATCAACATGTCATCTTTCATATTCTTTTCAATATTTGGTGGGTTGACTGATGTCCGATCGAGAAATTCTCACCCAAATAAGACGCCCCCTAAAATGAGTGATGTTCCCAAAGTGGAAAAGTAGCCATCTTGAAAAAGGGTCCCTCCTCAACATGGCTAAATAGCGCCACTTTCGGGCCCGATGGCATCCAATATGCTCTGAATTTGAAGCCCCAATTTCTTGGCTCTCAGAACTCTGTAATACAGAAAATTTAAGTGTATAACTTTAATTCAGGAGCTCAGCGGAAACATTTTGGGCCTATTTACTTGGGTGCACCCATAGCTAGCGACCTCCAAAAAGTTTTTTCCCGAGAAAGTTCCTGTTATTCTTCAATTGCAGTGTTTTAAACAACTTATTGCTCTTTCCCCAAAAGGCCATAGTTTTCTGACACCTACATCTACAGAACTAAAGGTCCGATTCAGTTGTAGTTTCTTGTTAAAGTGTTATACCATATTGACATAATGACGAATCACTTCGTCTTCACATGTCACAGAGCTCTTCCAAAAACATACGAAGCAGCTTGTGTTGTTGCAACCATCAACTACAGTATACTACTTCAGTATGTATTGTAACATGGAAAATATCATTTTTAACTTGGAAAGCACCTGAGTATACAGTGTTTGTAAAATGAAGTTGTTTACATCACACAACCTCTGTCAAAAAGTAATGTATTCTTATTGATGGTAGATTCAAGCCATTTTATAAAATTCATTTTATTTCTAAGGTCTACTCAAGTCTATAAAAAAGAAAAATAAACTGTATAAAGTATTTCTTACAAAACCTTCTGAGATCAACAAACTCAAATATAACAGATATAAAAACAAATTAACCACCGTTATTAGAGCCTCCAAGAAAATATATTACTCAGAGTCTTTTGAGCAACAAAAAAACAACATAAAAAATACCTGGAAAATCATAAATGAAATTTTAAATAAAAAGCGCAAAAACATCAAGCCAGTTAACTCGATCAAAATAAACAATAATGATGTTAACGACCCTCAAATGATTGCAGAGCATTTCAATCAACATTTTGTTAACATTGGTCCAGATTTAGCTTCTAAGATACAACATAGTACTTCTGACCCGATAACATATATCAAAGGTAACTTTCCCGATTCTCTATTCTTAAGCCCAGTCACCGAGGAAGAACTATTTGATTGTATCAGTAAACTTCCAAATAAGAAGAGCTCTGGTCATGATGAACTTGATAATATTTTGATAAAAAATATTGCTCCTTTTATTGTTCACCCTTTAACAGATATTTTTAATCACTCTTTAATTCCCGGAGAGGTCCCTAATGAACTTAAAACTGCTAAAGTTACTCCAGTTTACAAAAATGGTGATCGTTCCAATGTCACTAATTATCGCCCCATATCTGTATTGCCATGCTTCTCAAAATTGCTAGAAAGGTTAGTTGCAAACCGTCTTGAAAAATATATTGCTAAATTTAACATACTGTCACAATCTCAGTATGGCTTCAGGGCCAAATATTCAATTGAACTTGCCTTGATTAATTTAGTTGATAAAATAACATCTAGTCTGGACAAACGTGAACATACAATTGGTATTTTTTTTTTTTTTATCTTTCTAAGGCATTTGATACCATAAATCATGATATTCTAATTAATAAACTACAAACATATGGTGTCAGAGGTACTGAACTCGAGTGGTTTAAAGATTACTTGAGAAATAGGAAACAATTTGTTGTCTGGCAAAATAAAAAGTCCAATTACAAACCAATCACATGTGGTGTACCTCAGGGCTCAATCCTAGGACCTATCTTATTTCTTATTTATATTAATGATATTTGTAATTCTACTCGACCTCTGACGTTCTTTTATTTGCAGATGATACAAATATATTTTACAGTAGTAAACATTTGAATGATGCTGTTGACATATTGAACAATGAGCTAACTAATGTATTTGAGTGGTTTGTATGTAATAAATTATCTTTGAATTTTAAGAAAACACATACGATGTTTTTTACAAATTGAATTGTAGATAAAAGTATTCAGATTCGTTTTAACAATCATCATATTGAAAAGGTTGATTCCTGTAAGTTTTTGGG